GGAGGGGGAGGGGAGGAGGAAAAGGGACAGAGGGAGGGGAGGGAAGGAGCAGGCTGGAGCGTGGGAGACATGGGGAGGGGAGGGGGAGGACGGGAAGGAGGGAAGGAGGGACGAGGGAGGGGCAGGGGTGGGAAGGGGCTACGAACTGAGGCTGGATGGACCCAGGAGCCTGGGGGCACAGGTTTCTGTCTCTGCTCTGCAAACACGCCCCTCGGTGCACCAGTCTCCCCATTAGCAAGAAGCCTCTCGTCCACGGGAGCCACGCTCCCCTGCCCCCACGACACTGGTGTGGGAGGAGGGTCCCTGCTCAGAGGGTTGGAGAACCACAGCACCTGGGGAGGGGCAGGTGTGCAGGGGCTCTGGCACATACCTGCCACTGCCTGCCTCAGGGCCTTTGCACCCACTGTGCCCTGACACCCCCACAGCCCCTCCCTCACTTCATCCCAGACCACGCTCAGACCCTGCTGGCCACAAAGTCCACCCACCCCCACCCTGCTGCTCCTTCTTGGGCGGGTCGTGGGAGCTCATGAGGTCACCCTGAACAGAGAACACCCCTCCCCCGCCCTGCCGCTCCTTGGCGGCCCCATCACCCAGGTCACAAGGTCAGCACTCCCCGCAGAACCCCGCCCATGCCCTTCCCCGCATCCCACCTGCTGCCCCTTCACCGGCCTCGCCCCGGCTCACCTGGCTCAGAAGGTGTGTCAGCGCTCCCCACTAGAGGGAGCGAGGCCGCCCCCCGCCCCCACCCCGGTCGGCACAGAGCAGGCCCCCGGCGGTACAGGCTGCTGGGGTGCACGTTTCCTACAGGGAGCACGCCTTTCCCTTTGTTTTGGGAAGCTGCTACCCCCGAGCGCACTGGCCACGTGATGCGGCATTTGGCTGTGTCACCCTGCATGCTTCCAAGCCCGGAACCTGCCCGTCTCCAGTGCGGGTGGGGACCCGACAGCCAGCCACTCACCAAGCACACATCTGCCCTTGCAAGCGTCTGAGGCCAGATGACACCGTTCTGTAGGAACCTCACGGAGTCTAGCCCAGCAGCGGAAATTCCAGGTGAGCTCTCTCTTTGTGCGGGGTAAGATCCCAGGTGCCCAGACCTACGCTTCTGCTCAGAGTCCCTGAAAACGCTCCGCAGAATACCTGACAAATACTGCCTAGAGCATCCATGTCCTGGCGGGAGAGGAAGGCCTCCTCAGGCCACAAACCCCCGGAAGGGGAACCCAGTGAGGCCAGTGTCGTCTGCGTGGCTGAAATGACCGTCTCTTTACAGTCTTGCCGATGAGCTCAGGGGTCAGGAGACACCGTCCAGTGTCCTGGAATGGGGCGGCGCCAAGTGTGGGTCCCCGAGAGCTGCAGCCCCGTGGGAAGAATTAGCCAGAAACCAATCCCCACCGACGCCTGATGCCACGGAATGAAAACGGTGGGCCTCATACATGCTGCTGCATCAAGGAGCGGGGGGCCACAGGGGCCACCCTCCCCTGAGAACTCCGGGCCACGGCCGACGCTCACGCGGCTCTGCACACCACATTTACAGCATCCTGAAGCAGGGAAGCCAAGGGTCTCCATCCGGCTCTGGGTCTGCCAGTTTTCTGCTAGGCCCGATTTACTCACATCCCGTGTTTTGCCTGAATAAGCACAGCAGCTCTGTTCCCTGTCCGAGGGGGGAGCGAGACAGTAGGTCATTCTCTGAGTTCTGTCCTAGGCTCCACACCAAAGAAGAGCCAGATCCCAACCATGTTGCATCGTTAGCTGGAACAAACCTCGGCTGAGGCTGACATCCGTGCCCACCCCCCGCCCCCTTTAATTCACAGACTAACAGCTGTCATTCACCGGACACTCACTTTGATCGGACGCTACCCTGGATTACTGTTGGAGCAGAGACCCTACACCCTTGTCCAATAGAAGCCCCTAACCCCGAGCAAGGACAACACTCATTGTTTTCTCCCTTCCGAGCCTTCCAGACACCCTCTCTGCTCTTCTCCTTCTGACACGTGGGCTACTTACTGAACTCTATTACTTTCTGTGGCTCGCAGTTGATTTCTGTGCTGTGAGAAGCTGAGGTCCCCCCTGGCTGGTGCGGTGGGACCCTCCCCTGGGTTCTCGCACTCAGCCTGCCTGCATCAGTCTGGGTAACCCCAAACCCCTCTGTTCAATACCGTATAACCCGAAACCCCTCTGTTCAATACCGTACGGTCACGCCGGACTCGCACTGCCCGGAAGCAGCAAGATCTGTCCCCGGCACACCATTATCATCTCAAGACCCATAAAACTCCCCCAAAGTCCCAAGGAAAAGGGGCAACTCCTGGTCCAAACTCACAAGTGCACATGCAAACAAGGCGCCAGGTCAGAGAGCAGCAATGAGACAGCAGGACTGAACCCGCCAAGACTTCAGATGCCTGCAGGATCGGATGCAGGACCAGTATTTCTCACATGGTTCAGAAAACAAAAACGAGATGCCTGAAAATCCAAGGCGACTGAACACAAACCCAAACAACACGTCTAGATGTCACAAGCAGATTCACAGACAACACACGTGGATGGACGGCAGGGCGGACGGACCACAGCCGAGGACAGATGTGGGTAAGTGGGACGGACAGAAGCCAGCGTTCAGACAGCTGGCCAGAAGGGGGGGTGCACCCAGAGTCCTGGGCTCCCAATGCTCCCCACACGGCGCCCATAAAGGAAACCCAAGTGCAGACACAGGAGAACGGAACCACGGGACACCAGACATGGCCAGCACATCTTCCGAAACAGCCAGGATGAAACACAACACAACACAACAGGGCCATCTACACTGGAGCACGGAACCACACGGCCGGCACATT